ATAAAGTCCACATGTATATAACAAAAAAAATTAAATTATATCATGCCTTTTAGCTAGATAAAAAGCCAGGGTCCCACATGTCACATGATATATGAAGACATTTGTTTTCTGTCATCTTTCTTTGATCAATCACACAACTTACAATCCCTCGTCTGTTTAATCCTATATATAAACACAATAAATTTGTATACTTAAAAGTCCATATGCATATAAACAAAAAAAAGGTAAATTATATCATGGATAAAAAGCTAGAGTCCCACGTCACATGATATATGAAGACACTTATTTTTTGTCATCTTCCTTTGATCAGTCTCCATCGCACAACTCACAATCCCTCTTCTGGTCACTCCTATGTATATAAGGCCAAGTCTCTGCGCACACACAGCAAACTAAGAAGCAAAGTGGTTAATAGCTTTTATATAAATATATATATATATATATATAATATCAGAGTGAAATCTGATCAGCACTTCTTCATCATCTATCGATGAAGAAATCAATGATCTCCAGGTTGCTCCTTTTTCTCGCGGTGATGTTGATGATCATATTACAGACCAACAAGGTTTTTGCAGATCATTCACTACAAAAAAATTGACTCTTTTGTCGCCGCTAAAAGTACAAAAGCCGCCACTGAAAGTTTTTTGCGGCGATAAGTCACCGCTAAAAAGTCGTTGCCGTAGCAACCATGGCTGAAAACTTTCAGTGACGACTAAAAAGGTCACCGCTAAAAGATACTTTCAGCGGCGACTTTTAGAAGTTTCGATGTCGCCGCTGAAAGACACTTTTGGCAGCGACATTCTTGTCGCCGCTAAAAGACTTTTCAGCAGTGACATTGTGTTTTCTGCGGTGACTTTTTTGTCGCTGCTGAAAGTAATGCCTAAGAAGAATTGACTTTACCAATCCACGTCATCACCGCCGGTGCCACATCACCGTCTCTGGCCGCCACGTCATCACTGTTGACCTCCACGTCATCGCCATCGGCGGCCACATCATCACCGCCGACCGCCACATCATCACTAGCCACCTCCACGTCATTGCCACATCACTCCTCCTCGCCACGTCATCGTCCAAATATTTTCACCTTAAATGTGTCTTCTTCCATATTCGAATTTGTGACCGCCTCCTTTCGTGTCCAATCTTCTTGCCGCAGCCAGATTGAATTTGTTTATTAATATTGTAAAATAAAATATATATTATTCTATTATACTTTCAGCGGCGACACTTTTGTCGCCACTGAAAGTCTTAGTTTTAGCAGCGAACTTTCAGCGGTGACAAAAAAAGTCGCCGCTAGAAGTCCACTTTCTGCGGCGACAAAAAAAGTCGCCGCTGAAGGTCCACTTTCAGCGGCGACACTTTTGTCGCCACTGAAAGTCTTAGTTTTAGCAGCGAACTTTCAGCGGTGACAAAAAAAGTCGCCGCTAGAAGTCCACTTTCTGCGGCGACAAAAAAAGTCGCCGCTGAAGGTCCACTTTCAGCGGCGACACTTTTGTTGCCGCTGAAAGTTTTGGTTTTAATAACAAACTTTTAGCGGCGACAAAAAAAGTCGCCGCTAAAAGTCCACTTTCGGCGGCGACAAAAAAAGTCGCCACTGAAGGTCCACTTTCAGCGGTGACACTTTTGTCACCGCTGAAAGTCTTGGTTTTAATAACGAACTTTCAGCGGCGACTAAAAAAGTCACCGCTAAAAGTCCACTTTCAGCGGCGACAAAAAAAGTCGCCGCTGAAGGTCCACTTTCAGTGGCGACTTTTTTTGTCGCCGCCGAAAGTCATCGCCTAAAGTCTGTTTTTTTGTAGTGATTCATGGCAAAATATTAATCATCATCAACAGGCCAAGCCACCAGGAGGGGACACAAGCGTCATTATCAACAACGTCAGCAACAACAAGAAGAAGAACATCAGTTTCGTGGAAGATCATATGGAGACGAGTTTGTTCGTAGGTTATCCTCTCATCACAGTCTCTCTGATGATGCCGGGAAAGACAGGCGGTTCCTGTGATCGTAATAAGCCAGCTATTTCTTGCCATCCAATCCAAGGTTATAGTAGCTGCCTTCCCAACAAAAATCCTCAGTCAACCCAGTCAACTACTCAAAATTGTGGCGATTATACCAGAGGAGGTTGCCATGGTCATTAATAAAATCTAGTTTACTGGTTTGAGTAAATTAGGAAATTTAGTTAAAGTTGGTTGTTTGTAATAAATAACTGTTATCTTTTCCAAAATGTCCTTACTACTTAAGTGTCATTGGATGAAACATTTATTATGTACAATTACTACAAAAACTATATTAGAAAAATGAATAAATATAAAAGATAAAATGGATTGGAATTTTATATTTAGAACCAAATTAAAAGTTAAACAAGCTTTTGTATTAAGGATTAAAGGCAGCACTTTAATTTTGATCTTGTGCTTCATGTTTTGTTTGCTGAATTGCTAGTACCCGGGTCTAAGAATTCCAATGTGCTTTTTTTCTTATGTTTTTTTTTTTCTTTTGTAATGTCCAAAGTCCAAACTTCTCAGATATTTTAGTAGATTCTAGATAAAATAAGTGACATTTTGATATCTTACAGTTACAAAATAGTGCTGTTATGAATTTCTTAATGATTTTTTTAAAGAAAAATATTTTAAAAATCTGCATTTTTTTATTCATTTTCTTTGAAAAATCATAAAATAAAATTCAAAATTGTACCATTTCGTTATTACAAAATATCAAAATGCCACACATTTTATCTATAAAAATGAAAAGGAAAATGGAAAAAAAATTGAAAAGTTAGAATATTACGAATGACATTAGAAAGCATATTAAAGAGAAAGGCACGCTAGAAGCGAGCAAGGTTTGTAGGGCGTATTATCAAAACCAAAAAAAAAAAAAACACACACACACACACATGTATGTATCCTTAATCCTCTTCTTCATTTCACTTTTATATCTTTTTTCTACATATATAATATGTTTTAAGTGACGTATCTGTGCTTTTTATTATGACTTTGAGGTACTGTGTAACTGGAATCCGTTATATGTAAAACATGTTGAAATATATATACCCGTGGTCTGTGGTTTAATTAGGTGAAAGACGCTCAATTTTCTTCAAGCGAAATTGCGGATTCTAGGCATGTGTGTATAATAAATGAGCGTTACCATAATTCGCAATGTTCCAAACTAGTGCTACCAATATATACTCGTCATAGTTGTATTTAAAAATGCTCATTGTATAGCATTTCATCTCTAAAATAAGATTTAGTTTGCTTCGGTAGCATTTGATTTTTATTGGTACGTGTTTGATTGGCTTAACTTGGTAAAAAATTAATGAACTTACCAAGTTTCCTGAACCATTCGTAAGTATAACTATGCTCGCAACTAAAGAGCTAGTTGATATAATTTTATATACTAAAACAATGCAAAAATAGTAAATGTGGCAAGTCATCCTACGAGTTCCCCAACAATGCATATATGCAGGCTATACTTGAAATGATTAATACTATCTAATTCTTAATATAGAACCTAATTGTTGAGTTGATTTTGGTCTTAAATATAAGACTTATTTTACATTTTTATCATTTTTTTCTAAATTATCCCTATGGATACTCCCTCAACTATAATCAAGTAGAAGATAGAGAGAGGATATTAAGAAAGATAATTATCATGTTTTAGGAGTATTTATACTCCTCCAGTCCTTAATGTAAAACCTATTTAATTGATTAGATTAAGGAGTTAGGTAAGTTAGTTAATTATAAGAAATATGACATATTTTTTCTAAAACACGATAATCATCTTTCTTAATATCATCTCTCCCTCTTCTACTTAATTATGGCTGAGGGAGTATCAATAAGAGTAATTTAAGAAAAATTGATAAAGATAAAAAAAAGTCTTATATTTAGAACCAAAATCAACTCAATAATTAGATCTTATATTAAGGACCGGAGGAGTATATATAGAAATAGACAAGGGGGAATGGAAGACTAGAAGTCTCTATTAATTATTATTTGTGAATACCCAGGGATATATTCGGCTTCTGATTCTCCTGATCGGAATAAGCACAAGTTATTTGTCTCCATGTTTAGCAACTTTTCATTTTTTTAATAAAAAAAATATACATGATTTCAATTCTGTATTTTTACTTAATCTTCCATTTCGTTTTCTAAAATTTATAATTTCTCCAACTTTTTTAAAATTTTATAATTGACTCCTTCTAATCTATTAAATTTGTTAATTTTTATATTAACATGTTATGATTATTTGTTGAATTTTCTAATCATGATTAACTATATAATAATATAAATATAATTTATGACATAAGATAAATTATAAATATTAACGCTAAATTAACTCTCAGATGCAATTAAAATATTAATAAAATGATAAATATTTAACTGCAAAAAATAAATTAGACATCAAAATATAATTTTTGTTTTTGTCTTATTTTAATTAATTACATTATATGATTGTAATTTATAAATAACATGACATGCATACATTGATATGTTTTCCTCTCGAGCGACAAACATGGTCATACTGCTACTACCCGTGATTATTTCACTTTTATCATTCTATATTATCAGATTTTTTTTCTCTTTTATTACATGATCAAGTTTAGGTGCAAGTTATGATGGTATTTTTTTTTTTTTTTGTTTCTAGTGATAAGCATTGGATTGTTCTCTTACCGGCTGCGAGCTTAATTTATTCAATACTTAATTGGAAAAACGACAGAAATATACCCGTTAAATTTAAAAAAATAAATATGTTAATTTGACTATTTTTTTATAATAATTTTGATTACTTTTATAATAATTTTGGTAAATTAAAATCGATCAAAATTACTTATTTATTATTTCAAAATTTATAGTCTTTTTCTGTGTCTTTTCTTATTTAATTTAGCACTTTTTCTTCTGGGCGAAGGCATTCCTTTTGATTAAGGAATTGAGCTATTGAAGTATCAAGCCCGCACTTCAATTTATATTCCCCGAAATTCCCAATAATCCGAGTGAATTTGTCGTTTATCGTACTTTCCGCTCCGAAAGCCTCCTCCTCTGAGTCAGTCTTGTGCTCCAATACTGTCTCTTTCTTCAACTGGGTCGTTGCTTATTCTAGCATTGACTGAGTAGAACTAAGGGCGAACCATACAATGGTCAATTTCAGAATCGGGGGCTCCGGAAAATCTGATTACTGTTTAGGTGTTCTCGCGCCGATGACCTGTGGTAAGGGTTTTCTTTTGTTTTTTTTTTTTTGGGGGGGGGGGTTGCAAGGTTTGTTGTTCTCCGTGTGCTTTTGTTGGGTCTGATGGATGTTACTGGTTCTTGATTTTGTTTGTTTTGCTTTTGATTTCGCTTGGTGCTGATGATGGGTTTGTTTTGGGGGTCCTTGCTTGTCCTGTTTGCCTTTTGTTTATTGAAGAGAACTGACTTGATTGGGTGAATCATATTCAATGAAGAGACCTTTTTTCTTTTTGAACAGTATTATATACCTGGATATTGAGAATTATCTCCTCCTTCATAGGCCTATTCAATTAATCTCTAGGTCCTAGAATATCTCCCTCGTGATGGTTTGAGTTAATCCATCTGGCAGTTTGAAGTCTTTTTGGTATGTGAATAACTGAATAACAAATGGATAAATTATAAGAGTGATAACAAAATGACCGCAATATTTCAGTTTCTATCCACAGATTTTCAAGTGTTTTAACTTCCTAAAGCTGCTGCTGTAATTTCTTATGTAAATCATAAAGCAAAAATAAGTAGAGTTATTTCACTGTGTTTGGAAGCTTTTCCTTGTGTTGATAACTGGAAACACCTGATGCATAACTGTATAATGCTTAATGGTTCATGTGCTTTTCTTACCACCTTGAGCGTTCAATTTTGTCTGTACTAGCTGGGCAGTCAGTATTGGATTAACTTTGTGCCAACTTTTTGACAGTGAACCACTCTAGCGTGACTCTTCTGCAAGATTATTCCATTGTTTGAATGTCAGGAGAGATGAAATAATGGTTCGTCAAACTGATTTAGTCGCCTTTGGGGTCTCTGCTGGTTTGGCCTTTGGAATTTTGATAGCTTGTCTCATATGTTTGGTCATTAATTGGTATAAGAAGCGCGCTCATCTTAGACGGTGTGCAAATGAGCGCAGTCTAACAACACTTCCAATACGCACAAATGGATTAGAAACCAGCACCGACTTTAGTGCTTCTCTTTCTAGTTCCATAGCTGCTCCAGTGTCAGAAAATCTTCAGAAAGATTCCCATTTCTCTTGGTGGAAACGTCCAAATAAAGATCAGTTTACATCCTCATCAGGCATTCTTAGATACTCATTCAAGTATGTATATTTCATTTATGAGCACTAAATCTAATCCCTCTTTCTGTAATCTCTCATTTTGTTGGTAAGTAGATTTGTTAAAATCGTTAATCATGTTGCTGGCACTACAAAATGTCCTGAAGTTGATAACTAACATATAAAAGGAAGCATATATAGTTAATAATATCAAAATACGTAGAATTCTTTTATATGTGGAATTGATAAGTCTGTGTTGTCTTCATATAAGCTTCTTAATATTTTATGGCACCACGCACTTTGCTATGTTGGTTTACATTGCAAATTATTTTTTTTTTCAAAAAAAAAAAAAAAAAGATGTAGAGTAGGGCAAGGAATTATTGCTTATGGACGAATTTTTTTTGTAATGATATATTTAAAAGTAAACTTCCCCCATTCAGAGAAATTCAAAAGGCAACACTAAATTTCACAACTATCTTGGGACAAGGATCATTTGGCACAGTTCATAAAGCAACAATGGCAACTGGCGAGGTGGTAGCTGTGAAGGTTCTTGGTTCTGATTCCAAACAAGGGGAGAAAGAATTCCAAACAGAGGTATGAACAAAAGCTTCTGGACATTACTGTTTCTTTTCTTTTCATGTGTTGGAAAGAAACTTCCTTAATTATCTTAGGAGGCCACTGTCGCTTGATTTTGTTAGGACTGGTGCAGTTAGTTTTTGTTTCAGCATGTCAAGGATGCTAAATTGGAACTGGTCACAATTTAAGCTTGTTGGATTTTTCATGAACCAATAAGATGTTATTGCAGGTACTTTTGCTAGGAAGACTGCATCATCGGAATCTTGTAAATTTGTTAGGATATTGTGTAGATAAAGGACAACGTATCTTGATTTATGAGTTCATGGGCAATGGAAGTCTAGAAAGGCTTATACATGGTGAGTAGAAGCTCTATTTCATGTTCATCTTGAGCTATTTATTTTATCTTCCCCTTTCTATCTGTGAAGAATAAATAATCTGGCATTGTTGTGAGATCAGTGAGACAAATGATTTTTGTATGGCTTGAATACATTTTCAAACTAAGCTGCAACACAGCAAGCCCCAAAAATAAGGGAAAATGATCTGCAAAAGAATAACTATAATTAGTGACTATAACTCCTGTTTTGATGAGTTAATAGATAGGAATTCTTTCCTTCTTTTTTTTTCATGAATAAGTTGAAAAATATATTTTAACATTTTTCTATGTTGTAGATTTTTTTTTTTTTTTTTAACAAAACAATTGAAGTACAAGATATCTTGAATATAGTCACGCAATGATTATTAGGTACTACCTCCGGTCCTTAATATAAGAGTTAGTTCACTAATTTGAATAGATTAAGGAAACTAGTTAAGTTAGTTACTTATAATAAATATATGTTGTCTTTTCTGAAGTATCCTTGCTAATCAATTATGTTGGTTAGAGTTATCATTATTATAAGGATTACCTTGGGAAAAAATAGATAAATATGAGAAGTAAAGTGGATTGGAATCTTATATTTAAGACCAAAATAAAAGTCATACAAGCTCTTATATTAAGGATTGTAAGTAGTATATAATTGATTTTCCTCCTTTTCCTCTGTCTAAGACGAACAAGCGTAGAAGTTTTCTCTGATTTCTTTTACAGATGTTAAATTGTCTCTAAGGTGAAAAGTTCATACTTACATGCATCTAGGTGAAGAGAAGGTTTTAAGTTGGGATGAAAGGCTGCAAATTTCTGCTGATATTTCACATGGAATTGAATACCTTCATGAAGGAGTATGTTCACTGCTATCTGTTACGTTATGCTATTTGAAAATGCATTTGGTTAATATGAAAATGCATGGAACAGGCAGTCCCACCCGTCATACACCGTGATTTGAAATCTGCCAATATATTGTTAGATCACTCAATGCGGGCTAAGGTAAGCTTGTTGAATTCTTTCTGATACAACAGATTGCCAATGTATTTTCTTAAATTACTGTGTGAGATCAACTCAAGCGAAAAATCTTTTGAAATGTAATTTCTGTCGCTCTCCAAATGGATTGCACACACAGACACGTTGACTTTTATGAATGTAAGGCATTTGAAATGCTCTTTATCTCTTGAGCCAGTTCAAGCACAGTATTGTATGAGATCTACTTTCTAATTTTCAGATGAGTTTACATGTTAATTATCTTCAAATTGCTGATATTCATTATTCAGGTGGCTGATTTTGGGCTTTCGAAGGAGGAAATCTTTGATGGGCGAACTTCTGGCTTGAAAGGTACACATGGCTACATGGACCCGTCATACATTTCCACTAACAAGTTCACAATGAAAAGTGACATTTACAGTCTGGGTATCATCATTTTTGAGCTCATCACTGCCATTCACCCTCAACAGAATTTGATGGAATACATTAACCTTGTAAGCTACCCTCCCTTTCGAAAATTTTAAGATTGATTATGGCACTTCCTTTGTTCTACACCCTTTCGACCTTGTATTTTCTTCTAATGGTCTTTGTCTTGGTGGAAACTGTTTTTTCTCTGAGAGTATTTTCTAGAATTGGATGCAAATCCCCTAAGTTGGCACAATTGGCATTTTGACTACAAGGGTGCAGTCAAGCCATATTAATTGAACGGTTAATATTTTCAGAAATGGTCCCTTTTTTTTTTCACATCAATTTTCTTGACCTTCATTCACAACAATATTTTCCATCAGTTGGCCAAAAATGGTGACTTGTACCACTACTAAATCCCTGATCAGTTTCAATTTTGTTTCTTGCATATTAGTTCTTTTAAATCAGTCCTCAAATTATCTAAAATACATGCAATGTTGAGCTTTGTCTTTTCCGCATCAACAAATTAAAACATTGTTGAGTTGGTGTTAACAATTTTTGGTGACCCAGCAATGGACACTGCAATCCATAGATGTCCAACACAATAGTATGTTAAATTATCAGTATGACCAATCATTATAAAATGTAAAATCTTAAAATCTATATAGGAAGCTGTGTTTCTCACAAGCCACGCTTAAACATTGAGATTTCATTGCTGGAACTCCTAGTAATGCACAGGGACTCTGCCTAGTTTGTTATAAATCTTTGGATAGAAATACAACAATGTATCAATATTGTAAGAGCTTTAATGATTCAGATATGGGAGGCAAGATTGACAATGCACCTAACTAGAAGGGAATCAAATCAGGGTTTTCGACAAACAGAACACTCAGGATTGAAATAAGCAAACCCTGTATTCACTTTGTTTTTTGTTTTCATTGAAGGCTGCAATGGATCATGATGGTGTAGATGGAATAATTGACAAGAAACTGGTGGGAAAATGCAACATTGAAGAAGTGAGGAAGCTTGCTAAGATTGGACACAAGTGCCTGCACAAATCACCAAGGAAGCGTCCTTCAATTGGTGAGGTTTCACAGGCTATATCCAGCATAAGACAGAGACGCCTTTTAAAAGAAAGACCATGTCACTTGCTAGCTCTAGCTTTTCGAGAGCTTTGAGCCGAATTGAGGATCAACAGGTTGAGTTAAGTAGGATAGCCACCATGGCCCACTAGTCGAATGGGTGTGAACACAGATAGAAAGGAACAAACGGTGATGGTCTTAGTAGAATGGATTATAATTGCTTAAACACAGGGTTTAAGGTCTCGTATTTGAATTTGTGACTACAAAGAAAACAAAAACATTTCTAAGAGTTATTTTCAGTTGGGTTTGATAATGTTAAAATCTATTTTAATAAAGAGATATTAAGGGCTTGTTTGGTTTCTTGTTTTGAAAACAAATTTTTGCTTTTAAAAATAGAAAAACAAAAAAACTTGTTTGGTAATTTGTTTTTACTTGATTGTTTTAAAAAACCAAAAACAGTAACATGTTTTTAAAAACAAAAAAACCAAAACAACTTTTACATACTGCTTTTTTCTTGTTTTTGTGTTTTTTTATTTTTTGTTTTGAAAAATTTTAAGAAATCTTCTTCTATTCTCACTTGCTATCTACTACTTATCATTACCAGCGACAACTATCACCTAATTGTCATTTACCTTTTGTGGTTTTCTATTTTTTTTTTCAAACATGATTTTTTTAAAATTATTATCTAAACAAATTCTTTTGTTTTTTGTTTTCAAAACTTGTTCTGAAAAACAATTTTATAAAATTGTTTTGAGAACAAGAAAACAAAGAACAAAAACAAATAGGCCCTAAATAACTATGTCAAGACCCAAAAAAAATAAAAAAGAAGTCAAAGCAAGCTTCTTGTGTAAATGTATGGAGTTTAAAAAGTGAATTTTGATAATACTCAACTGAAGAGAACATACTAATATTTTAAGACAAACACACACTATAGGTTTGAACCTGTGAGCTCTCTTCCAAAGGGATGGTTGTTAGAGCCAAAGGTCTTTGATGTGTATTCTTCGTAATTAATGAAAGATTTTTATCATTTTTTATGTTATTAAGAATTGGATTCACATTTTTATTCGCCACAAGTCCATATTCAGTACCGTGAACAAAACGATGAGTATATAACATAAAACTTGAACTAACAAGATAAGAGGCTACCCAACCCGATTGTGCCAACTCCATAGCTTTAAACAGACACACACACACATAAATATATCAACAAAAGATAAAACTCTAACCAACGGGGGTGGGATCCAACCAAGAAAGATAGTCTCTCACAATGTGATGAATCACGATGCGATTTCTTACTATGAGAGATACTCACATTTAATCTTCAACGGTGTCTTGAACATGATTGTCTTTAATAAAAAGATGCATATGTAAAGCAAAAAAGAAAAAAATAGAAAGAGAAAGGGAAGTAGAGAGAGGGAAGTCTAACTAAGGTGGCAAACAAATGTTCGAATTTACCATTAAGAGAGGTTCTCACATTTAGAGCATGACAATGCCTCGAATAGGATTGTCGACAATATAAGGATACCTATATAAAGCAAAAAAAAAAAAAACAAAGAGGGAGACAGAGAAAGCCTAACCAAGGTGGCAAATAAAGGTTTGAATCTCTTGCTAAGAGAGATGCCCACATTTGGAACCGACAAAGCTTCAAATAGGATTGCTCGCATTTATAATTATTTTTATTAGAGTTTTAATTATAACATGCATTATCTTTTAAATAAATTATTTGAATTAGGTTTACATTAAAAAGATTATTTCCTATTTAGCAGAGTTTCTTATTTCTATAAAGATTGATTTAGGTTAGGTTAAATCGAATACTAAGTTCCTCCCGTCCCCAGTGAGCTTTCGCTCTTCTCCCTCAAGTTCTCTCTTCTATCTATCCCTTCTCTCTCTCTCTCTCTCTCTCTCTCTGATATCATACCAAGAGGCGTTCAATATAGAAGTCATAAAGTCAAAATAACACTCTTTCAGTTAGAGGCCCTACAAGTCCTCCAGAGTATTCAAGGAATTTATAACTCGAGAATATTTATATGGAGGAGGACATGGATCATTACTTGGATGATGACATAAATACATGCGGAGCTCAACATGACATATGGAAGGCCACCCCAAAAGACACCATATCATGTGAGTCATTGGAGTATGGATACTTGGACCTTAAGAAAGACACGAGCACACTCTAAGAGTCCAAAAGGAACATTTGAAGTCAATTCCTATATTATTAAAGGCCTAACACAATTATATGTGCCTAAAGGAGCCAATTGGAGCTATAATCTTTTAAATTGGGACCCAAATGCATTGTGTTATGAACCATGAGAGTTTCAAAGCGTGATTAAACCATATTCAAGTCCAAATGGATGTCTAAAATGCCCATACATACTTATGAACGTGAATAGCATTTATGAAAATCTATTTGGAAGGTCCAAGAAGATTCAAGAAGCATTGAGAGTGATCTTACACGACATTAATTAGAATTCTATATGTTTTAATTAGTTTTCTATTTTACAGTTTCCTATTTTGTATTGATTGCTTCTTGAAGTTAAAAACTTACCTGATATGTATTTCATTAATTAGTAGAGTCAAATAAGATTCTTCTCATTAATAATGGGATCCTCATAGGTAGTGTGAGATCTAAATTATTCTATATTGACTAGTAAGTTAGAGTATTCTAGAAAATCTTTTGAGTTTTCTAATTTTATTTTATTTTTGCATCTATCTTGGATACATTTTATTTAGTTAGCGTTTGAGGCTCTAATAGCTTATAATAAGCTTTTAAGGCTTAGGTTGTCAATTAGGTTTTTCAAGGGTCTTAGTCTATAAATAATTCAGTATGCACTGTTTTCAAGGGTGATATGATTTTGAATAATATGAGAATTTTATTTCTCTTTGTATGAGCTTTGCTTGCATCCTCATATTTTTGTGAAAATACTCGACAGTATCAAAAGATTGATCAACCTTGTGGTGTCTTCATGGCTATGATTGTAAGAGACATATTCTTTTAAGATTCTACCTCAATCATCCATTCGGTTTTTTATGTTTGGGGTTACAAGAGGCAGGTTCTCTTGGGATTTCATTCCATCCTATACTTGATTATAGCCTATCTGTAGTTTCCTCTCATATCACTCTCTCTCCCTACACTCTCTTTTCCCTTTCCCATTCTAAATCACTACACCACAAGAACACTAGGATAAGATTGTCATGTTGATATCTAATGAAACAACCAAGCTTCATTTTGATGAAACGACCCAACTAGTAACCGAGGTTCTGCAATATTCATATAAAATCTCTTTTCGACAAACAAAAGCATAGCAGCAGAAGCACAACATCCACGTAATGATGCTGGCCATGCCACTGGGACACCCAATCCTATTTCTTGGGTGTCAACTTGTGCAATTCATGTAATGATGTGTCATCGAACGTTTTTTGACCCAAACACCGACAACAAAATCAAGCCATGCGATAAATTGGCATGATTATACTACCTCCAGTTTTTAATATAAGCAGTAGATAACAAATTTACATATATTAAAAAAATTAGTTAAGTTAATTATTTATAATAATTGAATTTTTTTTGTTAGGCATGGCCCCACAGGTATTCAAGATACTGTCGGATACTAAATATCGACATCTTTCTTAGTAGAGACTTGAACCTTGATCCGTTACGTTGCAAGAGACTTATCTTTTTTACTAGACTTAACTCCTGTTCGTTGCAATAAATGGATGCTATTTTCTCTATAATTCTCCATAATTTGAACATGGTTCGCTGTATTATGAAAAACCAGTCCATTCTACTAGATTCCATTTCTGTTGTTTATGTGTTCTTTTTATTTTTCTGCTTTATGTTTGTAACATCATTGTCTCTGTTCCATGTTGAGTTTGTTCGCTAAGTCACTTGGACTTCAACTGTTTTTTTGTTCTACTCCTCCGGTCCTTATTATAAGACCCAATTTGACTTTTTATTTGGTCCTAATTATAAGACCCAATCCATTTTCTCTCTTATATTTATGCATTTTTTTCCAAGATAATCCTTCTAATAATGATAGTTTTAGCCAATATACTTAATTAGCAAGAATATTTTAGGAATAACAACACTTATTTATTATAAATAACCAACTTAACTTACTTCCTTAATCTCCTCAAATAAGTCAATTGGGTCTTATAATTAGGACCGGAGGAGTATTTAATAAACTGGGCTTTCAGTAGGGGCAAAAAAAGAGGGGAAAAAAAAGGAGAAGACATCCCTCAAACTGTGGAACCACCGCAACCTTCCCTTTTAAGGGTAAATAGTTTGAGTGCTTAAAATGTCAAATTAGTAATGATGGTGATGTCAATTTTTTTAAGTATGAAAATTACACTAATATATGTTATGAAGCTTTTGCCCTTTTCTGTAATAAAATCACCTGTATTTCCTCTATGGCTAATTGGATAGAATAATTCTACAATAACAAGCTTTACCAAAAATCTTGCGTGGTGGCAGGAAGATGTAATTGTGAGTTTTGTTAAGAAAATGCAGATAGTCATCCTCAAACCCGTTCCAGTCCTCCTTTAAGGATGGGACAAGACAAAACCAAAACCGGGACAATAAAAGGACGGGACGAGTCTCATTATGACAGTGTCTAGTTCCAATTATATTTATTTTTAAAATTTTAAATTTTATTTTTTATTCACGTAAACATTGTTAAATGTTCAACTTTCCTCGCTCGGCCACTCTCCAAACCCCAATCTTTGCTTTAGCTCTCGCTTGGCAGACTTCTCATGCTCAGTCGACAGGCGCTCACGCATGGCCTCGCTGTCAGATGCGCCATCGACATTGCCTTTTCTCTCAAACTCGCCATCCATCTCCAACATCATCCCACCCAGGTGTGTTTCCATTTATCCCTTCTCTCCTCTTTGTTGGCATCACTTGCCAAAAAAATAAAATAAAATATGGTTTGAGTGTGTTCAAAGACATTATCCTTAAAAGTTATTCTGTCACATAGATTAGAATAAAAGGTGGCAATCCCCATAATTAAACGAACTCTTCTTGCATAGAGTAAGATGACAGAACAACAGAAATTTAAAACTAAAGAAAAAAGAGAGAAAAGAAGAGCTCGAGGATAGAACTCAATGCGCTCTGAATATGCACCATGCATTGCCTTTTATAGGCAGGTGATATGTGACCCTTGGGCTGACATAACAGTGATTAAAGATGGTTTTAATGATAATTAAAAGGACGATTTTAAAACAATTAATTAAGATGAAATTAAAACATTTTAAGACCATTAAATATGATTAGTGAAATAATAAAACCGACTAATTAAAATACATAAATGCTTCAACAGTCATCTCTAAGGGTCAGTTCTAAAGACTCCTC